AAAAAAGGTGGGCCCTACAAACGGATTCATGGACGGAATCCGTTAGTTGGTGGTAAAATCGAATTTTTGGAAATTTTGGTGGTGGTAAAGTAAATCTTTTTTTTTGGAGGTGGTAAATTCAATTAAGTGGTTATTTGAAGGTGGTAAAAGTCAAAATTTCCTTATTTTAAATGTCTATGTTCTTTGATTGCGTAATTGCAATGTACTTTTATCGTCACATAATGTTCATTGCTTATTGTGAAATGTTCTTTGAATTTTGTCTTTGAATCGTGGTGTGTGTGTGTGTGTGTGTATGTTCATTACATAATATTATCATGTTCTATAATAATATCACGGATGTTCTTTAGATCTTAAAAACAATCATCAATAGAGAAGATCTCAAAAGAATATCGTCATCAACCTTCACGATCCTAATTTTAAAATAAATGTACGCAGTTAGTGATAATTAATATTAAAAAAATATAGAATTAATAAATGATATATTATTTAAAGAATATTATAATAATTCAAAGAACATGCAGTTGAAATCAAAGAACATTGAAGCAAAGAACATAAAGGATAAAAATAAAGGACATTCATATAATTGTTCAATAACTATAATAACAAACATAAGTACAATTTATAAAGAACATCATCTTCAACATTTGACAAAATGTAAAGAACATCATCTACAACATTTGACAAAATAAAATAACATCATCTTCAACCTTTGTCATATGGATATCAAATTCATAAATATCAAAATTGAAAAAAAAAAATGATATTTTACAATAATTGTGCAAAATAATAACAAAATATGATTGTTAGATTTCGGGAAAACTCCTTGGGTTGGAGTATGTACCATTGAATAATATATATAGTGTTACAATACTAGTCCTAATCTTGTTAGGAAACCTAGTACGATAAGAATACAAACTATATCACAAATAAATACAAATATATCCTACTCTACGACAAATATTATAATAATCCTATAATATCTATCACACCCCTGCAGTCGTAGCGGGAGGAGGGCGTACGCTAAGACTGGACCTAAATTCCAAAAATAAATCTCGTGGTAGGCCTTTGGTGAAAATGTCTGCAAACTGATATCGAGTAGGAACATGCAGAACCCGAACTTGTCCCAAAGCAACCTTTTCTCGAACAAAATGAATATCCATCTCCACATCTTTGGTGCGTTGGTGTTGTACCGGGTTGCCAGAAAGGTAGATAGCACTGACTTATCACAATAAACAATAGTAGCCTGCCGTAGAGGACAATGCAACTCAAGTAAAAGATTACGAAGCCAACATGCCTCCGAGATAACATTTGCGACACCTTGATATTCCGCTTCTGCACTCGACTTAGACAAAGTATGCTGACGCTTAGATGACCAAGACACGAGGTTGTCCCCAAGGAAACAACAATAGACCGATGTGGAACGTCGGGTATCGGGACAACCTCCCCAGTCAGCGTCAGTGTAAGTAATAAGTCGATGAGAAACAGTCGGATATAAATGTAAGCCGTGATCAATGGTACCCTGAATATAACGCAGAATGCGTTTCAATGCCTTAAAGTGAGGTTCCCGAGGATCATGCATAAATATATACAAATATATCCTACTCTGCGACAAATATTATAATAATCCTATAATATCTATCAATGATCAACCTAATAAGCAAAATCCTGAAATTAAAATCATAACAAATAAAATCAAATTACCTTCTCCGATCCATCGATTACAATGTTCTCATAATTTGCTCTGTATTTTTCTCTCTATAAAATTCTTTATAAACTTTATTCTCTCTTAATTCGAAATTGAAATATGGTGAAATTTAATTTTGAAAGTTATGTAAAAATGGAGAATATCACGTTGAATCTCATGAATTGTGGAAGAGATGGATTTTTTTTTTTTTTTTTAAATAACAAACTGATAGCTTGCAAATGAAAGGTTAAAAACTCATCATTTAACACTAGGTGTACCATGAGCATGGTACACCCTAGTGTACTATGCAATTTTCACTAATTCACATGTATCATCCATTTAGCTAAAAAACTTCATGCTAATTTAATATAATGTGCTAATGCCAATTGCTCGTATCAAATTAAAAATAGTCTCTTAACTAAATATTACATCATTTAACTCCACAATTCCAAATGACAAGTATACCGTGAAAAGCAAATACGTAGTAAGAAAATTCATTTACTACTATACAAATCTTTCATTGCATTATAGCGCTAAAGAGCTGAGTATTCACTTAGAAAGCAAAGTTTACCAGATCTTGTATAAATTGTTAAATTTATTTATATAAACGTTGAAGGAGCCCCTTCAACTGGCTTCGATCTATTGTTGAGCAAATCTTAATACAAGTAGCTTGCAATCTTTTAATTTGCTGACTCATGCCTAAAATTTTTGACATAGCAATATTCGGTATAATCCTATCGTGCGTTCCTCGAGGGTATTAAATATTCTTCATGGCTAGTCTACTTCGATCTTTTAATCATAATGTTTGACATTTTGCACTATTCACACAATTATTCACGCGGTTTTAATTAACTTTCATAATCAATATATGTTAAGAAAAACATAACTAAATAGGACGTTGGATAAGTATTTAAAACATTACCTAAAGTGATATTAATTTGGAAAAGTATGACAAAATCACACGTCGATCAGTGTAATTAATGTTTATTTTAATTTAATCTTTTCATTTTTAGCTAGCTTATCCAACGCCTCCGGGACGTTCGTTAGCTTTTGTCAGTAAATAAGTGGAATTTTGTTAGACTCGTTGTGATAATATGAAATTTTTGTAACTTTTACTAAAAAGTGATAAAATATAATAATGATATAAAATAGTCAATAGCAGGCATGATACTCTAAATGCTGTGAAATAAAAAAATAAAAAACCCAAGGAAATATGACAAATATGTAAGAATAAAAATATTACAAGCAATATAATACTCTATATGCGCGTTCCACGAGAGAAATAATTAAACATAATTGCATATTATACCCTTGCTATTACAAACATATACTACATATAAGGTAATATAAGGATATTGGAATAATGTAAAACTCCAGTTTTCCATAGTTCATATCATTCTACATCATTTTTTTTTCCTTTGAAAGATTTTTTGCTCCAACCGGGATTGTTACATTTTCTTTTATTTATTATTTATTTTTTTTTAGAATTGTTGATTTATTTATAAAAATAACACTACAATTCAATAACTATAAAATAAAAATTAAAAAACCTTGATTATTAATTGTCACAAAAAAAAAATTCAATTAAATTTTTATAAAACATTATACCGTCAAAGTATGCTATAAAACATTATGCCAGACAAAACATGCCAACAAAATAGGGATATAGGGGGTACATAAGTACATTTCACGGGTTATAATTAACATAACATTTTAATTTTATATAAACCCTATAATCATTAAATATTGCTTCTTCTTTTTTAAAATAACTTTTGATATCAATATAATATAAAATTCAATGGAAAAGAAAATGAAGTATTGTTTCAATTAAAAATATTGATTTTTATTATTTTTAATTATTGTTAAATTAACATTATAATTTATAAATATGCTAAGTAAAAACCGTGCATTGCACGGGACTTAAACTAGTACTCTATATGCACGTTCCACGAGAGAAATAATTAAACATAATCGCATATTATACTCTTGCTATTATAAACTTAATTTTTTAATTTATTATTTTAATACATGAAACTACTCCCTCCGTCTCTAATTGATAGTCACTTATATGTCATTTTTGGGCACCCAAATGTTGTTAGTCACATTTGTTTTTTTTCAAATACCATTAGTATTATTTTTTTACCAAAATTCGCTAACATTTGCAAAATATCATTTGCAAAATATATTTGTGCAAATTTAACTTTCTAATATAAATTTTACTTTCTCATGTTCTTTAATTACTTTCTCTCTTTACTTTTTTGCATACCCAATGTAAATTTTCTTTTTCAATGTTCTTTCTTTAATTCTCCTTAATTCCCGTGATTTTTCTTCAAAAGTGACTATCAATAGGGAACGGAGGGAAATCACTCCCTCAGTTAAGATAAGGATGTACTCCGTATTATGATTGGTTTTATACCAGACGACATAATAATATTCTCTTCCATCTCAAAAAAAAGTTAGATCTAACGTTTGTACACAGTTAATAAAGAAAATAAGATGGTGTAATTCAATGATTAGATGTCACATATATCAAATATTTAAGGCATTAAATTAACTTTGAACTTAGGAATATTTATATTAGGAGTATGTATATATCTTTGTAAATACGGAGTAGTAGAAATAATTGTATTGAGAGTTTGAGACTATACAAATATATTTTTCAATAAATGGGGATAATTGCATGAAAAATATGTATGTACGAGAGAAATAATGTGAAAAAAAAATTGAAACTCCAAATGTAGCCCTCAGGAACATAAAGAGTACCTAATTATGAGATAATCAACAATTTTCATCCATTTCAAATTGAACTTTAAATTATAAACATACTCTCCAGTTTCATACTTAGGGCATGTTCTCATAAACTGAACGGAGCTGAACTGAACTGAAGTGAACTGAACTGAGCTGAAGTGAACTGAACTGAACTGAACTGAGCTGAGCTGAACTGAACTGAAGTGAACTGAAGTGAACTGAATTTCAACATATGAGAACAAACCCTTAAATTAATTGCACTAATTTGTTTATTTGGTAAAAAATAATACGGAGTACAAAATTTTAAAAAATAAAATTAATTGGGTGACTAATGATGATTAAATATTCCTCGCCAAACGCACCTAGAATATATATATTTAACAAACGCACATAGAATATTATATTGCTTGTTATATTTAAATTATCTTTACAGATTGTCAACATTGTTAGACGATGTTCTAAAAAACTCTTTATTTCCTTTTTTTTTTCTTTGAGAAACTTTTTTTTTTTATTATTTAATAAAATAATGTTATTTCCTTAATCCAAATTACAATTGTAAGATTGTACCGTATGCTAGTAGCTACTATAAATAGAAAGGGTTGTAGGAGGAAATAGTAAGAAGTGCAACAAAAGCATTATTAGTTCATTAACAAAAAGAAAAATATTAAGTTTCGAGCTTAATCTAGAAAAACAGAAAATGAAGAAGGTCTTAGCTAACTTGATGGTTGTTCCCGTTGTTTTAGCAGTAATGTTACTCTTGTTCAGTACTACTACTACAGGTATCTTACCTTGTTCTAGTCTTTTTAATTTAATTTTTTTTTTTTTTCGCATTCGTCGGTTATGAACTTGTAAATAAATCATATATTACGTGAATAAATTATACCGTATTTCAAAAATCCTTATTCTCATGAATTGTACACATATATAAATAAATACTCCGTAATTATTATGCATGCAGCTACAGTGGTTGAAAAGATGGAAACAACTTCTGAAGAAAGGCCGCCTGTGATGGTAGTCGAAGAAGTAATGATCATGGTTGAACAACCAAAAAGCGACGATAATTTTGGAAACAGAAAAACAAAGATGATGTTTATGGAACCAAATAATAATAATGGTGGATTAGATGCACAAATTATTAAGGAAGTAACAAGTAATACCGTTGAAGCTATAACAACATGCGGATCAAAAGGCGATTCGTGTGGTTGGCTTTGGAAGTGTTGTCCTGGCCTCACTTGTGATCCAGGATTGTATGTTAACATTTGTAAATAATTAAGTAGTAACCATCAATATCTCTTCTTTCTTGTTTTTAAATTATGCATTATGTCATTTAATTTGTTTACTTCCATAGCCTTTGAGCTATATATGCTTATGTGTTTGGTTAATCATGATCATTATGCTTGTATTATGATGGACCATAATAAAAATTATGTATGTGATTTTCAAATTTAAACTGTGTGTAATAAAAAACAAGTTTGTTATTTAATTTTGATCTTTGTTCTAAACAAGCATCTAACAAACATATCACTGAACTATTGGTGAAGAATTTTGAATTCATGATACCTATAAATAACATATCGATGTATGAATAATGTAAAATTTAAATTGTTACAAGTATAAGTAGAAAATAGACAAAAGAAATCCAAAATACACCAATTTAAAATTTATTATGGATCTTCATTTGTTTTATCCTCTTTATACACTAGCGTCTACCGAAGAAAAAACCAACAAGCTAAGTCACTGAACTACCAAATTGTGATCAATTCCTCAAAACTACTGCTCTAATATGAACTTCATGCACCTAAGATCTATTATTGATTTGTTAGCCGCGCATAAAAATAAAAGAAGCAGCACCAAAAAGACAATACTTTCTCAACATCTGAAAACTGCTTTAAAAGCAGAACTAGATAATCAACATAGCCAAGTAAGTGAAAATCTCAGCCGCAAGCCTGCAGTTCTAACCATAGAACAACATTTTGCAGCAAGCATAAAACTCTGCTCGGCTGTTGCTTGCACTAAAACTGAAAATATTAGAATAAAACTAACTTTTTCCAGCCTAATTTTTTTTTTCCTTTCATTTTTTTTTTGGAAATTTTTTCAAAAACCTCCTTTATTTTAAAAGCATGTTTTTGTCAAAAACCTCCTTATAATTTTTTTTTTTTTTTTTTTTTTTTTTTTTTTTTTTTTGTGAAATCATACATTAATCAAATTTTTTTTTACATAATCATACCTTTAGACGGAAGGCGTTGACCACCCACGTGTTCAACGGATTCAACGGAAAACCACCCAAACCCACCAGCCCACCACCACCTCCTGCCAGCGTCTAGGGTTCCTTGTTCCCCCCCGTCGGCGACGCTACCCCAACTCCAACCCCACTGTCACCCAGAACCCCAAACCCCGTCGACAACCCTCTCTCTCCTTCATCTTCCCACCGCAACCAGAACCCTCCTAACACGGTGGCTATCTCCGCGCAACCACATCACCGTCGCCACCTGCTCCACCGCACCACCTATCTTCGCGCAAGCACAACAGCATCAATCCCCAGCAGCCTCCATCTCCACCGCTGCAACACCGTACCAATTGCAACCCCAATTCGCACCAATTAAGCCCCAAAATCCCTAGCAGCCTCCATCTCCACCGCCTAGGGTATTGTCGCCGCGAAGGGAGTGGTTGGGCAGGTAGGTGGGGGTAGGCGAGTTGCGAGGGTCTGGTTGGCTCAAATTGGTGGCGATTGGAGGTGGTGCGTGCGGTATTCAGTTTTGCAGCTGTTGTTGGTGTCGATTGGTGGGGTTGTTGGTGTTTGCGTGGGTGTTGTGGGGGTGGGCGTGGTGGCTAGTCTTTTTTTTTTTTTTACACAAAACACCAAAGCCAGCTTTATTAAAGAGAAAGGAAATTAAGGAACATCACGAGCAACATCAAGCGCAATACAAGGAGGAACAACCTCGTACCACACCCTTACATCATTAAATTCTCTACTAAGATTAGCTAGCTTATGCGCAACAGTATTTCCATTTCTACCAGTATGCGAGAAAGAAAGAGAGGAGCAAAGAGAAGCCATATGCAGAATGTCACCAACAATAGACCCCAACAGCGATTTCTCACTATTTCCCTTTTTTAATTTCTGGAAAAGTTGAAGGAAATCAACCTCCAAGATCAAGGGCATCAGGCCAGCTTCAAGCGAAATAGACAGGCCAAGTCTCGCAGCCAAAGCCTCCGCAACAACAATGTCAAAAGACCCCATCTTCACGCTGCAAGTGGCGACTACCACATCCCCATTCCAGTCCCTCATAACAGCACCTAAACCAACTGAATTATCAGAGAAGCAAGCCGCATCAGTATTAATTTTATACGCCCCCAACATTGGAGGAGTCCAGACCTGGTTTAAGGGCACCACTTTATCCACCCTAGGAGCAGCCACCTCCAAAGCCTTTGCATAATCACCCACCAGACCCGAGGCTTTAGCAAACACATCCTGCACAGCCACGCAACGCTTCTCAAAGAGAAAGGCATTACGCTTCAGCCAGATACCCCATAAGATGCACCAGAACAGATCCCACCAATCTTTTTCAATGAATTTTGACATTAAAAAGCCAAACCAGGAATGAATGGAGCAATTAGCAGAACGGGAGATATCCAAACGCAAGGGAGATGCGTACCAAGTCAGACGGGCCTCCTGGCATAGAAAAAGGCAGTGTAAGAGAGTTTCTGGGGGCTTCACCACAGCACGGGCACATCACATCCATACCCATACCACGCTTCAGTAAAGAGGCTCTAACAGCAATGCTGTCATGAAGAACTTTCCAGCCAAACAATTTAATTTTTGGTGGGATTTTTGCATTCCATAGAACATTCCACAAGACAGGTTCAGAAGTGATAGAAGCAGAAGCTTTCTCACAGGATTTATCCTTCATTTCAGCATGATAAGCACTTCTAACCGAAAATTCACCATTTTTAGTGAACTGCCAAGCCCAAACATCCTCTCCACCAAAACGAGCGAGAGGAATTTTTGTGATTTCCATCACTTCCCATTCGACAAAGTAAGTGTTGAGTATATCCAAAGACCACTCCCCGTCACAAAATAAATCCTTCACCAACGCAGGTTTATATTCTAATCTGGGCAGCATTGGTAAAGGCTTGAAATCAGGAAAATTTGGAATCCAAGGATCATTCCAAACATCAGTGCCTAAACCATTACCCACAATTTTCCTCGATCCTTTTTTGACAAGATCCCTGGCAGACATGATCGATCTCCATGTAAAGCTTGAGTTGGAGCTGACTTTTGCAGATAAAAAATCACCTTTAGGGAAATATTTCTGTTTCATAATCTTCCCCATCAAAGAGGGAGAGTTGTTGAGAATGCGCCAGGCTTGTTTAGCTAACATTGCCTTGTTAAAGGCCTGTAAATTTCTCATTCCCAAACCACCCTCATTCTTTGTCAAATAAGTCTTTTCCCACGCAATCCAAGCCATCTTTCTCTCCTCCTTTTGTTGACCCCACAAGAAATTCCGACACATACGCTCAATCTCATTAAGAATGCTGACCGGAATTTTGAAACATTGCATAGCATAGGTGGGGATAGCTTGAGCAACCGCTTTTATAAGAACTTCTCTACCCGCTTGAGATAAGAACCCTTCTTTCCAACCTTTCAATTTTTTCCAAACCCGATCTTGAATAGTGGAGAAAACCCGCTTCTTCGAACTACCAAGATTGGTAATCCGAGATATTTTTCATGTCCCTCGACGACCTTAAAAGATAACTTCGATTGAAGGATATTTTGCTTTTCAGGCTCAATATTTCGGCTAAAAGAGACTTCGCATTTTTCCATATTCAATTTCTGACCTGAAGCAATTTCGTAGGTAGAAAGAATATCCAACACGTTATCCACCTCCTCCTCATTAGCTCTCACAAAAAGAAGACTATCATCCGTAAAAAAGAGATGCGAGATAGGCTCCACATACTTTCCGATTTTAATGCCATGAATCAAAGATTTTCTCTCAGCATCTCTCAAAAGAGTCGACAGACCTTCCGCACATAAGATGAACAGAAACGGGGAAAGAGGGTCCCCCTGCCGAAGGCCTCTAGAGGGCCGGAATTCCCGAGACGGTTGTCCATTAACCAGAATAGAAAATGAAGTAGTCTTCACACAAGCCATGATGGAATCAACAAAAGAGACCGGAAACCCCAATTTTAGCATCATTTGTTCAAGAAAAATCCATTCGACTCTATCATAGGCCTTGCTCATATCCAGTTTCAAACCCAGATAACCTTTCTTCCCAGTTTTCTTTTTTCTTAAAAAATGGAAGCATTCATACGCAACCAAAATATTATCAGTGATAAGCCTCCCGGGAACAAAACCACTCTGTGACTCATGAATAATATCTGGAAGGACCTTTTTAAGTCTGTTAGCAAGAACCTTGGCCACAATCTTGTAAACCACATTGCACAAACTAATTGGTTCTATAAATCAGACTTACATTGCCCTTATCCCGAAAAAGAAAGTTTGTGAGTCTCCTGTGGTGGCTGGTCTTTGGTGGTGGGTTAATTTTGGAAAAATTTTGGTGGTGGTTGGTCTTTGGTGGTGGCTGGTCTTTGGTGGTGGGATAATTTTGGTGGTGGTTTTCCGTTAAAAACGTTAGTGGTCAACGCCTGAAAACGGGGTCGTTTTCTGTCATAAGGTATGATTTTGTAAAAAAAAATTGATTAAGGTATGATTTCACAAAAAAAAAAAAAAAATTATAAGGAGGTTTTTGACAAAAAAATGCTTTTAAAAGGAGGTTTTTGACAAAATTTCCTTTTTTTTTTCAAATCTAAGTATTGATTGTAAAGTACTTTTTAGTTGTTAATACTTTTTTTTTTTTAAATCTTAAGGAAAACAAACATCAACCTTTTATATATGTGATTACTCCATCTAATTACAAAGTTTGCAAAATTTTATTATTGTAGACATGAATTTTATTTTGTGTATATTATTTTAAGTTTTGTAGTTTGGTTTATGTTAATAATATCGTCGTATGTAATACAAATATTTTACATATTTTGACGAATATGTCTTTGAAGTTTACATAATTATAAATTCTTTTATTATATCCGTGCGTCGCATGAGAGTTAATCTAATTTAAAATATAATTCAGTCCAAGTCACTAATTTAATATGGACATCCCGGTAGTCTCCCTAGTAGCTACTCCTTTGTTATTGTTACAAGGATCTTGCTAACGAACGCCCCCATGGCGTTGGATAAGCATTTAAAATATTATCTAAAATGGTATTAATTTGGGAAAACATGACAAAATCACGCGTCGATCGGTATAATTAATCTTTATTAAATTTAATCTTTCTATTTTTAGTTAGTTTATCCGAGGGTGTTTGTTAACTTTTGCCTTCTTATAATTATTTGAAAATACTTCAGAGATTCGACATTAAAATCTCAACGTGTTACTTAATGAAATTGCCTTGCAGGACCCTAATTGACTGCCCTCATTAATTATCCTCGAAAATTGAATCATGAGTAACAAAAATAAAATTAAAGAAAATTAAAATAAATACTACTCGTACAGTCGTACAGCCCTCGTACTAAATAATACAGTACGGAGTAAATAAATAAATCAGCTAAACAGCTACGTGTATAAGCTAACTGAGTTACATCCAAGGGCAATCGAATCGTGGTGTACATTATTTTATTCAACGATGTGTGGAGCATTAGTGCATTACTAATTTAATATTCTACTCCGTATTATACTTCTTCATTAGATCAAGTAACTGATTTTTACTAAACAAATTTTTACTAAATACGGAGTACTGAACGTTACTTTTACAATTAAAATGGAGCACTTGTAAAAAATATAGAGGAATTTTCTTTTTGGCAAAAGCTAATGAGCGCCCCCGGGACGTTAGATAAGAGAATGAAAGTGGAAATATTAAAGTAAAATTAACATTAATTACACCGAACGACGCGTGATTTTGTTATGCATTCCTAACTTAATGTCATTTCAACCAATATAATTACTCCTTATCTAACGCCCCGGGGCGCTCGTTAGCAAGATCCTTTCCCTCTCTCATAAAATATTCAGTTCAGTTCAGTTCAGCTCAAATCAGTTCAGTTCAGTTTAGCTCCAATCAGTTCAGTTCAGTTCATTTCAGTTCAGTTCAGCTGAGTTCAGTTAATGTGAATAGACCCTTAAATAAAAAGAAATAAAAACATATTGGAAAAATAAATTTACATGGGGTTTGTAAAAAAGTAGAGAGACAAAATATTAAAAATAAAAAATCAAAATAATAATAAAAAATCAAAATTTTATATGGAAAGCTAAATTTGCACAAATAATATTGTAAATTGGTGAGTATTTTAATGCAAATGGGTCGATCATTTTGGGACTAAAATTAATAGGCTAAAAGTGTCGAAGTTTTAGGGACGGAGGGAGTATTATTAATCCAAATTTATTTCAAATTAAAATTAAGTGGATAAGGATGAAGAAATAGATAATAATATCTGAGAGCTCGATCCTAAAACTCTATTAAAAAAAATTAAATGGAAGTAATAAAAAATTATGCAATTTTCAATGATCAATAAAATAAGGGCAGTCATGAGAGCTGATACACATACATGTGTAGCTTTTACCGGCAGTCATCAGTAGCATGCATGGGAGTTATGGCTAGAGATAAGGTTCGTTATGCAGAAATTCAACATAAATAAGAATTGATCTGAATGATGGGGAACGACAAATAACTAGCGCATCAGCCGGTAGTGCACACTGCATTAATATTGTGTACATGGTGACTTCCGATGACGAATATATATAATAATCCTCGTGTCCCTCATGAATCATGATATAGCTCTATACAGCTAGCTAAAGTCATCTTTAGAATGACTCATGAATTCATGAGAGTTGACCAAGTCACGTGCTAGTCACGTGGCTATTAATCTTCCATTTCCCCCCTTTATCCCCTAATTTCCTCTCTTCTCTTTCGATTAAACTCACTGTAGACCAAAATTGGGTTGAAATTTTCTGGGTTTAGTCTTGGTCAACGCTGATTTATTATGGTCAACTCTCAAATTCCGACCAAGGGTAGTGTAATACAACAAAAAAACCTTTTATAAGGTAATTTTTAACAACAATTTTTTTATAAGGTAGTTTATCGCAAAAAAATTGCTTTAAAAGATAGTTTTTGACAAAATGTCCTATATATAATATAATTTTACTGAATATTTAACGATACTATTTGATCACCCAATATAATACTACACTTAATTCAGCGTATACATTTACATATGTATATGTGTAATTACTTTACCCTTCGTTATATATGAGAACATACCTAACGGTATCCCTAACATACTCAAATGGCTCAAATAAGGTATATGAATGTATATGTGGCATTAGAGAAATATAGATACAAATAATAAGTATTCAATATCTTTATTTATAATAATGCTATAGCTAATTTATTTGATATAATATCAAGTGTAGATGGTCATTATTCCGTATATATATAGTTTTGTTTTATTTTATTATTATTTTCACTTTGAGTATCCTATAGCCCTAACAACTTTATTTATTTATTACGAATATTATTCTTTAATTTATACTCCGTATATATTTTATTTTTTAATGTGTGGCACAGTCTAATCATCATATATAATTTAAGTGGAATACATACTTTTTTTTGGTGCAAATGAGGAGCAGAGCTCCGGAAAATAAAACTAAAACAAAGAAATTAAGGGGTACAAACCGTGGCAAGCACCTACTACATCATTATGCATAATACTCCCTAAAGCTAAGGGGGGGGACTTGAATCAACTGAAATTTGTTGTTCTGGAATACTCCTTGGTTGGCAAGCCAATCCGCCGCTTGATTTGCTTATCTATAAAAGAGGAATACATACTTAAATAATATAAAAGTCAATTAATTAAGAAACAGATATATCTGCATAATTTATTTATTTTCCCTAATTAATTAGCTTGTGTTAATTATTCTTCAACGCAAAAACCGGTAGTAGAAGAGGGTGGAAGAAAACATGTATATCCAGAGCAACAAGAGGGTCCGCGACGTATGTTACAAATCTTCTCTAATCCTACACACTTTAAAACGTTCTCCGTAGTAGTTGATACTACAACATCTTGCTTATTCTGGGCCTCCGAATTAACTCGAATATTTGGTTGTCGTATAATCATCTTTCGATTCCAGTTTCTGGTTTCTATAATTGGTTGCATCATTACCATTTCTTCTACTACGATGCCATATCTCACCGGAGTTTCTTCAGAAGTCGTTGTCGCAGTTCTTCCAAGCACCGGATGATCAGCTGCGCGCATAAATTGAATAAATGAAAACGTCAATTTAATAAGCTTGTTCGATTGATTAGCCAACTAAATTATTGTAAAATTACTCAAACAAACACATACAAAACATCAAGCTAATTAAAGTAACGAACCTGTTGTAGTACGCATGAACATGAGCAAAATTGCTAAAACAGCAAAACCAAGGAGTTTGACTGATGAAACCCTCTCCATTTCCTTCAAACCGTGGTTTATTGATTGAGATCAACTGCTAATAATGCTATAATGGCTATATCATTTCCTCAAACAATATCACAATTCGTCTTATTTATAGTGGATTAATTAGGCACGAACAAAAAAATCGGATGTACAATAATTATTGTACATCAATCTATTGTAAAGTGAAAATTAGATAATACACCCGGGTGCACCATGAACAAAAAAAGGCGAAAAGAACATATAGTGTTTGATAAAGAATATACCTATGTTTGACAAAGAACATACCTTTAATATGTTCTTTGAGTGTGATCAGTCTGTTCTTTGAGTAAAATTATATGTTCTTTACATTATAACTTATGTTATTTAACATATGTTGATAAACATATATGTTTTTTTGGGTTTAACAATACAAAGTATGTTCTTTGAATTTGGCGTGTATGTTCTTTGAATTTGGCGTGTATGTTCTTTAAGGTCGTAATGACGTCCAAATTCTATTTTTATTATCATATGTCATATTTAAATTACTTTTATTATCGTATATTATTTGAGTTTGATTAGTGTGTTATTTAGGTATTAACTATATGTACTTTACAATATAAATTATGTTCTTTTAACATATGTTATTTTAAAATTTGATATTGAAATCTTAAGTTATTTTTAATTGAAAATAATATTAGAGTAAAAAAACTAAATTATTATGGGAAGTTGAATTTTTTTTGGAGAGATAGAAAACTATTTTTTGGGGGAAATGATATTTTTGGTAAGGATTTTTTAAGAGTTGATCAACATTGGCATGACTCGCTATCCGACCCGATCCGGCCCGAAATAGGGTGGGTTTGGGCAAACCTAAAAATGCATTTTTAGTTAAAACTCGAATCGGGTTCGAAAAAAGCCCAAAAACCTGCTACTTTTCTACGGGTTTGGGCACGAGAAATTATGATATGGCCCGACCCTACTCGATTTTTTATCACCTCTAAATTTTTTCCGTTAATAATGTGTAATTTTTCAGAAAATTTTTATTATATCTTTATGTTCTTTGGTAATGCATGTTTTTGTCAAATACAAACATGTTCTTTGTCAAATAAATACATGTATGTTCTTTATGAAACACAGGATGTTCTTTCCGCCTTTTTTTTATTTATCCGGGTGTATGATGAGCAATGTACACCCGTGTGTATAAACCACGGATTATTATAAAGATAGCCTAAAGTAATCAAAAGTTACCCCTGAAATGAATAAAAGTTAACTCCAATATGCATAAAAGTAATCTTATACAAATAAAAATTATATACGTTTTATTAATAAAGAATCACATTTTAAATGACTAAAATTAAAATCAATTATAGTGATTAAATGTAATTAAATTACCTTTATAAAACTATTCTTGTTGTCTATTTATATAAAAATTGTATTACGTTTAAAGTTACCCAAAAAAACGACAAAACATTACCTTAAAATTAGCTAAAAGTTACCTTTATACGGCTCGATATACACTATATTACTGTAAACTGGATGTACACAAAAAAATTTCTAATTATGCAATTTTTAATGATAAATAAGGGCAATCATCACTCATCAGTAGCATGCATGCATGAGAGTTATGGCTAGAGATAAGGTTCGTTATGCAGAAATTCAGCATAAATTAGAATTGATCTGAATGATGGGGAACGCCAAATAACTAGCGCATCAGCCGGTGCAAAATGCATTAATATTGTATACATTGTGACTTGCGACATGATGATGATTAATATATATAATTATCCTCGCGTCCCTCGTGATATAGCTCTATACAGCTAGCCTAAAGTATTTATCCTTAGAATGACTATCATTAGTCCACTATACTCAATAATACTACACTCAATTTTTATTGATTGATTTTAATTTTTTTTTTTGCTCAAACTTGATCAAAGTTTTTTTTAAAAAAATATATCATAATTAATTGAAAATTTTAAAAAATTATAATAATTAATATTCAAATTAGAAAAATCATTTTTGAACATGTTTGACCAACCAAAAAAATATATAAATTTAAAATCACTCAATTAAAATTGAGTGTATTAGTAGTCATTTTAATTTTTAAGAATGACTATTGTACTTACAACTATTGGTTGATGCATCAAACATATGCAGCTGGGCTGACTGGATTAATTTAATTTTTGTAGATATATTGAGAATTTCAAGTGCATCATTTTTTTTTTTTTTTTTTGATGAACGAAAAGGTGCATCAAATAAGCTAGCCTATTAGTTTACTACGTATTTATTTATTTATTTCTAAAAAAAGAAAAGAAAAAAAAAAAAAAAAAAAAAAAAAAAAAGATGACTAGAGTTTTCATGGGCTTGGGACTAAATGACTCTTAAAGTCTTATGGAGAGAATTTATTTTAGAGGGGGTTAATTGTGATGTTAAGGTGAGAAATAAAGAATTAATATAGTATATACTATATAGAGATCGAAAATGTGAGAGAAAGGCTGAAATAAAAGCATGGAGGAGGAGCTACATTTTCTTTTGAACATTTTGTCAGAAACTACCTTTTAAAGCAATTTTTTTGCGAGAAACTACCTTTTAAAAGAAATGTTGTTAAAAACTACCTTATAAAAGGTTTTTTGTTGTAATACACTACCCTTGGTCGGAATTTGGGAGTTGACCATATTTCCCCGGCGTTGACCAAGTCACGTGACTATTAATCTTCCTTTTCCCCCTTTTTTTCCCCTAATTTTCCCTCTTCTCTTTCGATTAAACTCATTGTAGACCCTTTATAAGGTAGTTTATTACAACAAAAAACCTTTTATAATTTAATCACCATATTGTCCATATATAATCAAAGCGGAATGCATACTTAGCTTAAATAATATAAAAGTCAATAATTTATTAAGAAACAGATAAAATACTTATTTTCCTTTTCCTAATCACGATCATTTATTTAGAGGATCATAGAAAAATAATAAGTTTTCAGTTTAAGCAAGAAGTGCAGAAAATGGTTAGGATCTCAGCTAGCTTAATGGTTGCTCCAGTTGTTTTAGCCAATTATTGGTTCATACACCCAGGTGTACCATGCGCATGGTACACCTAGATTAAAGCGGAATGAACATCGTATATAGTTATAAAGAACATCATGAATTTATAAAAGAACATATCACTGAAATATAAAGAACAACGTAATTTCTGATAAATGGTATTTAAAAAGGGTAAAAGATAATTACTAATTGAGTTTTACCAAAAAATTTAATGTCAAATCATTTCAAAATATTTAGATATCAAGAATTTCCCTATCCAAAATTATTTTCACCCAAATATAATTCAAAATTTCATTTTTAAATTTCAAAAATTCAAAATTCAAATTTCAAAATTTAAGAACATATATGTAAGTATAAAGAACATATATACCTTGGAGAACATTGTTTGTAATATAAAGAACATATAGTTAGGACTCAAAAAAACATATTGATTAGACTCCAAAACATATTTGATTCTATTTTAAAAAATGATAAAAGAACATTCATCAGAATATGAAGAACGTTATCTTCAACCTTTGAAAATATTACCAAAACAAAAAAAAAATGAATAAAAAAAATTGAAAAATACTTATCTTCAACAACGAATTCGTCAATTACACCTTTCAATTAAAAGATTCACGGGAATGATAAAATTAACTCCGTAATAGCATTAAATCACTTTGAAATCCAAAATTTATCGTGGCTTCTCTCTCTATAAAAACTTCATTTCTCTCTCTTAACAAACAAAATGAAATTCTATATACCAAAAGTAATATAGAATGTAAATAATAAATCAATTTCATAAATCAAGGAATATAAATAACAAATTAATACCTTAAATCAAGGAGATAATCGTTTTTTTTTTCACTCGTGTACTTTGTATTTGCACACGTTCTTTCCGCGATTATATAACTCTTGTATTCTAAGTGGGTGTACCATGCTTATGGTACACCCTGGTGTATGATGAAAATTTTAGTTCTTTGTTTTATTCTAAGTTCCTTAATTCCCGTGTAATTTAACACCATAGGAATGTAAAAAAGGGACGGAGGAACTACCTCTTTCTATTTTAAGGTTGTATTTTTTGACATTACCACCCTCTTGCATGACTATAATACTTGTATTATGATAGCTACTGATGTACTTGTATAGCTGTATAAAACAATAAATATATCCCTCGCAGAACGCACATAAATTATAATAATATTTAAATTATCCTTGCAGATTTGTTCAAATATGATTATGACTAGCCATGTATATTTAATATTCCTCAAGGAACACAAGGTAGGATTACAAGGTCAAATTGTAAGCCGGAGTATATTTAAATAGGGTACGGGTGTATGAAGCATTAATTACAAGGTCAAATTGTAAGGCGGAGTATCCTTTTCTTAATTTCATTTGAGGAGGATCATATGCTAGCTAGCTACTATATATAGATTAGGGTTGTGTGAGGAAATAGTAAGAAGTGCAACAAAAGCATTAGTTCATCAAAAAAAAAAATATTAAGTTTCGAGTTTAAGCAAGAAGTTCAAACAATGGTGAGGGTATCAGCTAACTTATTGATGGTTGCTCCCATTGTTTTAGCAATGTTGTTCCTGCTCAGTACTACAACAGGTACGTACCTTCTTTTCTCCGATTTTGAATGTACTAACTCCGTTAACTTTTAATTGCAACAAAATAATTTATTATGACTCACAAATAATACCTTTTTGTTGCAACCAAAAATTCAAGGAGGTATGTAGTATATTCTTCAAAATTGACTCAATCAACAAAACTCCATATATCATACTAGTACATCGTAATACCCTAAATAATTATTATACGTGTATGAATTACATTATGCAGCTACGGTGGTTGAAAAGATGGAAACAACTTCTGAAGAAAGGCCTTTGATGGTAGTCGAATAAGTAATGATCATGGTTGAACAACCAAAAATTGATGATAATTATGGAAACCGAAAAACAAAGATGATGTTTATGGAACCAAACAATGGTGGATTAGATGCACAAATTATTAAGGAAGTCACAAGTAATACCGTGGAGGCTATAAAAACATGCGGATTAAAAGGCGAGACGTGTGGTTGGCTTTGGAAGTGTTGTACCGGCCTCACTTGTGTTTCAAAAGTGCATTTTAACCTTTGTGAGTAAACACTAATTAAGGTGCCTCAGCTTGCACACTGTACTGGATTGACGATCTTATTTCTTGTTCTTGTTTTTAAAGGCCGGTCTTGTATGGACCCGGTCTACAATGCATTATGTCATTTGCTTACTTTCAAAGCCTTTAAGGTATACTATGTAATACTTATGCTTGTGTGTTTGGATGTTCATCATCATGAATAAATATTCCTATTCCTATATATGTATATATATTATGTTTGTATTATGATGGAGCATAATAAAATATGTATTCGACTTAGCTTTCAGATTTCAACTTTGTTAAAAAAATTGCTATTTATTTTATTTTGATCTTTGTTCTATAGCAATTCAAACATCTAACAAAAGGTTCGGGATTTATTTAAGGCATGTATATGGGTACCAAATTAAATTTAGTTTGGCTTTTTCTAATCTATATCAAACCTAAAACATTCAAAATAACCCATTCAGCTGAACAACATTAACTTGATATAGGAGTCTCATATATTGAGCATTGAATCTCAAAATTTTTAAATTCAAGTTTGAGGTCTCAAATTTTGGGGGACAATAGGCTCAGATTCTGGGGAATGAATCTCATAATTTATGCAATAATCTCATATTTGGGTAATGTGCATCGGATTTTTCATTACACTTATAAATGACATTGATTCATATATTACGTAGTAAGATAATATAGTCAAAGTTAATGTATAAATGTTAAATAGTGGCCTTCAAAAAAAAAAAAATTGTTAAATAGTTAAACTTCTAATTATTGCAAGTGTTTTAAAGTTTAACAAAGTAAAATAAACTCGTAGACAAAAGTAACTCAAAACACACCCATTTAAATTTTAAAATGGATTTTGTTATATCCTCTTTATACACTAGGATAAAAAAGAAACACTCAACAAGAGTCACTGAACTAACAACCTGAAGAAAACTTTGATTAATTGATAAAGCTAATGCTCTTATATAAATTTCATGCACCTAAGATCTATTATCAGCCGCACTTAAAAATAAAAGCAGCATCACCAAAAAGACAATAGTTTCTCAGCATCTGAAAACTTAATTAAAACTGCTTTAAAAGCTGAACTCCCCAAGTCAGTGAAAAACTCAGCTGCAAGCCTGCAATTCTAAGCACAGAACAGCATTTTCCAGCAAGCATAAAACTCTGCTTGACTGTTTAGTGCATGGAAAATGAGCTATCAAGGGCTCCTTCAAAACTTGATCTTGTAACTTTCGAGTTCAAATGCACACAGTACTCACTAGGCCACTGGCAATCAATATGACAGGCAGTGAGGTTTTTCATTTCTATTTATTAGTCATCTAACTACACGACTAGACGTGAATGCCCCACTGCCATGAATAAACAATAGTCTATGACTACGTGTATTAACAATAACTATCGTATAAAAGCAGCATCGTCTAATGCTAACACTCAAGGTTGGAAATTGGAGATACACATCTACTCAAACAAATATGACCTCAAACTTAGAGCACGGATTGTTTTCTATATGACTTCTAAAATCACTTTCCTTAAACTTAAAGGTATACAAAGCTTGTCTCTGTGTCATGCCAAGAGGATATATTCTATAAACTTTTAGCTTGTCTTCCCCTCGAATACTTTCTGGTCTTTCAAGTTTCCAAATAGGCACATGTCTCAAGTAACTAAACTTCTTCAGTACTGCAGACTCCAAGGCCTCCATTGTCAAATTGTTAGACCTGTACAGCAAAATTTTCAAATTAATCAATGTAAATCAAATACAAAGCACACAACTATAATAAGAAGAGCAAATCAAATAACAGCACAGAGGAAATACATAGATCATGTCCACTTATATGCTATTGAATGCAGGACTGAAGTTTGCATGTCTATCTCCGGTCTTAAACAAAACAAAAATGCATCTCCTAGGATTCTAGCAAACAAACAAACCACCTAGAAGGATCATGCTAAAAATTATATATTTCTAGATAAAACAATAATCTCTTAAGGCTTAAAATTTAACAGGTAACAATGTTGTTACCATATGTCTATTGTCAGTAAAGCCAGGATTTCAATCATCGATTTATAAATCCTGTCCCAAGTCCTGCGTGCACATGTAATTTTTCAACAGTAAAACACAGCCATCAACTAAAGAATCACCACTAATGTCACATTAACCATCAACTTAGCCTCTCTATGACAGGACTATAATGAGGATGGAGCAAAAGAAGCATTGAAAGAGTTCAAGTTGTATGAATTACATATTTGGTAAGACCTGTTTAGTTTTGTAGTCAATTCTGTTCATACTTCATACATAATTTTTCTTTTTAATAGTTCATTAAAATGAGGTCCTGGATACTAAATATAATAGGTTATTGAACAGATTTACATAAGAATGTTCAAGGAAGATCGCAAAGTGTGACAATAAGGGAAAAGTTTTTAAATACTGTAATAATGTTTTGTTAATAGCGATTACAGGGCTTCCACAAAAAGATAGTGTTTTATGAGCTAGTGTTAACCTACAAATTAACATTGTTACATTTTTGTTTGTAGAATTAGGTTAGCAGGAACACTCAACAATAGATAGAGGGGAATGGACGGGGTGGAGCATGGTTGACGAGCATGGGAGATGAAATTTTGGTTCATGTAGCCGGCCCTTGCTGTCCTATATTCTTCTGTAGTTTTTCCCAATATCTTTCCATTCGCTACAATAACTTCAGGCTGTATTGCAGAATTGTTGAATGAACATATGAGTTTATGATATTATTCTCCCACAAGCCATTAACTTAACTAATTGGTGCACAGGGAAGACCCTTAAAATGAGCAAATGACCTAGTTTATTGAAGCTATGACCAGGACAAAATTATTGAATGTTCAAGATCCTCAGACACGGAAAAAATATAATTAAAAAAAAAAAAAGAAAGACAAGAAGAGAAAATAATTACGCTAAATCAAGTTATCAACTACCAAGAAATCCACTCTATTAAGCCTGCTCAAATATCTCAAAAAATTGCCTGATCCCAAATGTTTAACCACAAACACCTCAAGCCATTGAATCTTCCAGTTAGTAGCATTGCTGTGACTGCAATGCTGCTAGGAATACTAGTTTCTTCTTATTATGCAATAGTGAGGCTATAATTTATTTACAAAACAATGTACTGTAAATCCTTACCTTAGGAAAATAGACTCCATCTCAAATCTGCCTCTTTCCCTTACATATATATGATAAATAGTTTCTGATCCTCGAGAACACTTGCAAGGACGTTTCTTTAATTCTGGTCTTCTCTCTTCATCCTCACGGATTCTAGTTGCCAGGTAAATGCAAAGGCGGCATGATGAGTGAACTGCAGCCATATCAACTAGGGCCTTGAAAGAGTCATTTGGGCCCTCATATTTCCACCTACCAACAGAAAGCCAATGTCTTACAAAATTCTCAAAATATTAAACTGATTTGTGCAGCAGTACAGCTGTACAGCTATGAGCCAGTGACTGTGGGACCAGTCAGACCATATAAGAGAAGCAAATGAGTGTACCTCAATGACTGGTTGTATGCCGCAGAATTTTCAGCAAGATACTTCATAGTCTTTGCAACTGGATCAATATCTTCCAGCTCCTTAATATGCAGCACTGATCCAGGGCAAGGAGCAAAGTCTTGAATATTTGGAGCACCAACAACAACAGGAATTGTCCCTACAGCAACAAGAGCAGTCCCTAATTATATTATAAAGGAAATGTGTGGTAAATAAATTATGATTTTTTTACACTTACTACATAGTTTTATATCCACTTTATATTTTCAAGGCTTTATGTAAAAAGAAATAAAGGTCAAACATACTCCTCAACAGCAGCCAGCCATCAATCGGTTTCTCACTTCACTGGTAGTCCTATAGCATATAGAACCCACATGACAAAGTATCAACTTGTCTTAAAAAGGGTGACCAGCTAATACATAGCTCTCTCTTAATACACCTATCCTATAACAAACAACTCCACAACACCTAACAAATTATGATTATAACTAACTTCTGTTTGCAATTTCTTCAACCTTGGCCTTTCTTCTGGAAAAATGAGGTGGTAATAGGTGGTCTGTGTGGATGCTTAGCAGAATTAGGCAAATTGCAAGGCAGCAAACATTAGATTTCCTTCACCCAACCACACTATTAGACTATGAATCTTTTGCAAAGACAAATCAAGGTTAAGATAGCTCCACTTTCAATACATCACAAATAATAATAAAAAAACATTGAAAAAAAATAAAATAAATAAAATAAATAAATAAAACCTTAGAAGTCTTTCAAAGGATGCCTTGTTTTCTAGAAGAAACTAGGATATTAGAGGATGAATGAGATTTCTGTTAAAAATCTATAAGTGAAGTTTAAGAGGAAATGAGCACCATTTCCCTGGTTCAGAAGGAAAGGATCTATAGCTGCAATTAATATCGGAATCCTCTCAGGTAGAATAATGATGATGTCTACATTATTCTTCATACAGGCCCCACTTGACAGATTAAAACTTGAGCTGACTTCCTTAAACTGGAAATGTCGGATATATAGAACCAATGGCCATGAAACAAGCATCAAAATGCATTTAAAATAAGCATAAAAAAGCATCACATGTAGGTCAGTGTTCATACCAGCAACAAGGGACTGGAAGAATTTCTCAGTGACATAGTCCTCTTCATTTGAGTTTTCAAAAGCCAAGCTAAATTTATAGAGCTTCAATGTTTCAACTTTGTCAACTGAAATGTTAATAAAAAGATGATTTTCACTAACAATTCACCAATCTGCTGGAAATAAAAATTAAGAAAGATGATGAAGAATTTGAAATCTATTGGAATGGGATCTCCATTACATGGATAAAAGGAAAGTATATATGAGAGTTTTAGATTTGTAGTCATCTAGCATGAAACATTTTCTAGTATCTAATAATCAATTTGAGATGCCAATGACAGCAACATAGGCACAGTAACCACCATCAACGAGTATTGGCAAATCAAAATTTTCTCTTTCCAATAAAATTTTAAGAAGATGGTAATTTAAAAGAGTGTCAATAGGCATACCTATTGCATGAGAATCGCCTCAAGGTGGTTAATTTTTTAATAGATAAAGTGTAGCCAAAAGGCCCAAAATAATAGAAGCATCATAAATAGAAAAAAGGATAAATCAAGCATGTAGAAGACCTAAAACAAGAGGAATTTGCTTGACTGGACAAACCTCTTCCATCTCGGTTACGGTGACAACCACCAT